ATTTTATGAACTACTCAAGGAGAACAAAGTATAAATTTTCATTCAATTACCCTTTTTATTAATAATACATATCAATTATTAATTATTTAATTTCAAATAGGCATATTATATGACCAAGTTGAAAGTAGCTCTAAACAAAAATCCAATTTATCAAGGTCATAAATATGAATTACACTTTGAAAATAGCAGTGAAGTTAGACTGGTATGTAAACATAGGTTTTTACACCCCATAACATTAATTTTTTAAAAAAATCTTTTTCCTTTTTCTTTTATAGTGCACTGATACTGATTCCTTGGATAGTGAATTGAGTTTCAAATTTGTGACATTTGAAAAACTGCTTAGCATTGATAAAGACACTCATATTGGTAATTGTGATTTCTAATAATGGTTTTTTATTTTTTTATTTTTTTATTAATATTATACATATTATTTTAATAGATGTTATTGGTGTTGTTAGATATATTCATGAAATCCTTGATGTTTCAACAAAAAATGATCAAAAAACAGTATTTATCTTTAATATATATATTTTGTTAAAAAGTTTCTTTTGTTAATTTTTGAAAGTTCATCAATTGATTTATTTTCTTTTATTTTGGTGTTAAATTATTTGTAGCTTCGAAAACAAGAAATTGATATAGTCGATAAAAGTGGTTATGAGATTACGGTGACAATATGGAGGAATCTCATTGATAATTTGGATTGTACTATTGGCTCAGTAATTATTATTAAATCTGCTCGTGTTAGTGATTTTAGAGGTTCAAAATCTTTAATAATATTTTATACATGTACCATATCTTTATTTATTTACAAGTGATTAATTATTTTTATCCCCTCAGGTAAAGGTTTATCAACAACAAACAGCACTGTCCTGATTACAAATCCTTCATTACCAGAAGCAACTGAGTTATCAGAATGGTATTACTGATTATTAATTTATTGATTGGCTAATGAATTGATTGATTATATATAATAATTTTTAAATTAATTAAAAATGTGTTCATATTATTGTTTTTAGGTATAGTACAGGTGGATCTCAGTTAGAATTCAATTCATTAAGTCGATCAATCAACATAAAAGAGGCTCAAAAGTCATTAGAAGAAATTAAATCTGATAAAACTTTAGGACGTAAAGAAAAAGTAATAGTTTTACATGAATTTATATATGTGTTTATTGTTTTTATGCATCTAGCTTTAACTTCATCTATATATTTATTTCCAAGCCTGACTATTTCACTGTTAGGGCTACTGTTGCTTACATACATAATAAAGGCAAAGAACTTATTTATCCTTCATGCAGTTCTTGCAAAAAGAAAGTATTTGGAAGTGGCAATAATTGGAGTTGTGATAGATGTTCAAAATCATTTGAGACTCCAACCTACAGGTATAATGTTACTTGCTAATGGAAAATTTTTTTTAAATATTAATATTTATTGATGTTGTTTGTTTTGTTTGTTTGTTATAGATATATTTTACCAATTCGTATAACTGATCATTCAGATAGTGCATGGATGAATTGTTTTGATGAAACAGCTGCATTAATTCTGGGCATGCCTGCTGATGATTTCCGTAAACTTAGAGTAATTGTTTATTTATATCATATTTTTTTCTATTCATTAATTAATATTTTTAATTTTCTAATATATATATATATATATATACATTTTATTAGGATTTTGATCCTTATGGTTATGAAAATCATATAAAAAATCAATTGTGGGAGTCTTACATATTTAAAGTTTGTACTCAGCTAAAAACTTTTAATGTAAGTATTAAATACTATAGCAATTATTATAATAATTATATAAATAAATAAATATAAATATAAGTGGGATCATTTTATTTTGTAGGAGAAGACTGTTGTAAACAATAACTTGGTGGCTATTTCAGAAATTGATTATGTAGCTGAGACTAATCATTTATGTGAAAAAATAAATGAATTAGAAAAATTGTAGTTTTCTTTTTATATGTATGTTGTTGATGGATGTTTTTTACTTTATGAATTTAATTTTTTAATTTGAAATAAAATTTATTATTGCTAATTTTAATATAATAATTTAAGTGATTGATGTAAACACATTTTTTAATTAAATATTATATGCAATTGAAAGTATTGCCTCTTTTCTTGCTTTGGTGGTGGTGACAACAAAACATTTGTGAGATTTAATCTAAATAAATCATAAATAATAAATCATTTTTAATTATAAAATCATTCTAGTCTTCATATCCAATGTTATTTATTATTCTATATTATTCTAACAAAGCAGTAAATTCCATTTCATAAGGTTCAATATCACCGAAATCTACTTGCTCTATTTATAATATTTTCAGTGACAATCAATGATTAAATTTCTCTAATGCATTATTATTAGGATCTTGTGAATCCTAATACTTTAAATGAAGATTGCAAATCATTAACAAAAGATAATAACAAAGTTTTTTTTTGTCAATTTATGAAACTTTAAATTCCCCAAAATCCAAATGAAACTCTTCGAAATCACCACCTTCTATACAGATACGCCCCAAAATTTGATATTTCTCTAGCAACAGTGATAGGAATTTTCAAAGAATGTAAATGTCTTAAAAGATTAGTAGGTTTCTTCAATTGCGAGGAAAGACATTCCAAAATATTTCATTTGGCAGCAAAAGGAAACTTGCCAAAATTGGAGGTGTTGGCGATTGCTTTTTATGATAAGTTTTCATCTGACGTTATAAATAGGAATGATTAAAACTCGCACACACAACACTTTGAAAAGGGTTTCTTTGCATATGACAACTCCAGATAATGGCATTATTCATGTTAAATCCATCCATTTTTACTTCTGTGTAAACAAACAACTTTATAATTTTCCAGCAATATTATAATTAGTATTAGGAAAATATTAATATTAAGCAAAATTGAAATCTTATTATTATTATTATTATTATCATCATCATCAGTTATTTTTTTACCTAATCTGGAGTCTTCTGGGAACGTACACTTAATTTTAAATTAATGCACGAATTTATTTTTTTACCCTTACATTTTTCATTAAAAAACTTTCAATCAATTCTTTTATAAAAATGGAAGAAGGAAATGATAATGATGATTGTATAAAGTAGTGACAGATTAATCAGAAAATAATATTAAAAACCCAACTACAAATTATATAGATGTTGTTGATGCCATTGAACAACAAATTATAGTTAATGCACACAATAGATGTCCCATTGATGAAATAAAGGATAGTCCTATTCATAAATTTTAGTAACCCATAGTAAACAAGATGAATCTATTACAGGATGCACAGTTAATCTTGACCAAGGAACAATTCAATGAGATAACCAAGATAACTATTTTAAAACTAGGTCATGTATAATAGATGTTTCAGATGATAAATATATGCTTCTTCTTATATGGAGTGGTTATTATAAAAGTATTGAATTGAATTTCATGATTCCTGGACATACCAAATTCAAATGTGATGGTAATTTTGGGATGATTAAAAAACTCTATAGAAGAACCAGAGTAGATTGTCTAGATCATGTGGTTGAGGTGGTAAAAAAGTCTAGCCCAGCTAGATTGAATAAAGCTCAATGTTATGAAGGTGGAAGAGGTTTTCAATATTTAGATATTAAAGCTATTTTGAGAATTTATTTTAAGAAACTAAATGGTTTACAAAAGTATCAACATTTTCTTTTTGAAGCAACTAATCTTGGTACAGTGAAAGTTCAAGAAGTTGCTAATGGACCTTTTACTGAATTCAATTTATTGAAAACCAAAAAAACAGATATTTTTGAAGAAATTAAAGCTTTATCTATTTTAGTATTGACACCACCTCCTTTGGATTACAAAAGGCAAGAATATCTTTACCAGAATATTCGTCCATTTGTGAAAGATGAATACAAAGATATCACTTGTCCCAAACCAATCTATACTGATATTGAATAAAAATATTTCAGTCAACTGCAAATTTTATTACTTTATTAGTTTTTATTAAATTCTTTATATTTAATCTTTTAATGATATTAATATTAAAATATAATATAGGTAAAATATAATATAGGAAGTAAAATCATGACATTCAATAAAAATGATATCGATACAATCGAAAAAGCAAGGGAATACCTTAACTATCATGGCGGTAAACTTACTGATCAAGAAAAAGAAATCTTTGATAGTTCTCTTTTAACTCCTAATGGTACTTTGGATGTTTCTCTTCTCCAGGATACGGCTGAATTATTAAATGATTGTAAAAAAGCGGAAACTAATTTAAAAATTGAACAAAGTGTGGATGTTCTTAGTAATGATGGTAATAAGTTATTAATTTCCTTAATGGCAGAAAGGAGAAATAACTCCATTGCTTACCAATTAGTTAATGAAAAAGATGAAAATGAGGAAGGAAGAGTTGATAAAATGGTGCAGGAATACCAAAGAGTTTTATTTAGAAAAAACAATAAAACTTTGGATTTAAAATTAAAGGAAGCATTAATCACTTTTGCAAAAGTATCAGAAGAAGAAGAAAAAACAGAAAAGGAAGTTGAAGAGTTAGAGAAAAAATATAACGAACAAATACTTCAAGAACAAACTGAGTTAGAGAAAAAGATTTCTACTATTGTTCAAAAGTTAAAAGATGATTTAGCACCTGGTGGAACTGGTCGTAAGTTTCTTGATTGTATGCTTGAAATTGGTAAAATAAATAGTGACTTGCAATATAGAGCTGATATACCAGAAACAGTTGACCGTTATGCATCAGTTATTCAAATGGGATATAATGGAAATTCTAAACCTTTTACTCATCCGCTTTATTTAGAAAGTGATTTACCAGGTCAAATTTGAACAATTCTTAAGAATATAGATAAAGATAAACTTTTTGCTTATATTGGTTCTTCTACTTGCACTCACTTAACTGCCAACCAAAAGAAAGAGTTTAAAGATGCTTTTAATCGGTTTGTAGAACGAAAAGATATTACTTTTTCAAATGGTGGATTGCAGAATAGAATGGGTCACTTTGTGTCTGATGATGCGGTTAGTTGAGGTTTTTCACATGTGATGAATTTAATTAAAAGTGAAAAAGTAGAAGAAGTAAAAAAAGAAATATTTCGTATAAGTGATGTCTTTTGTATCATGCATGCTCTCTTTCCTAAAAATAAACCTAGTGAATGAAAAAATAGTCCTTTCTTAAAAAAAGGTGAAAAGAGTTGTTTGCAGTTTAATGATACGGATAAGAGTATTGATACTCCTTTTAAAGTGTATTGGCGAGGAGCAGATGCCAGTATTATTACAAAGAGTTATGTTACGGATGGGGGAAAGTTAAGTATTCTTGAAGCTCCCTTTCTTGCTGAAGAAAAACTCTTAACTTGGGCTAATGGCCAAATCCCTGAATTCTTTTGACAAGTTTACAACAAAGATGATGCTATTAATTTTAGTGCATATTGTGAAGTGCTAGATGAAAAGGGAGTCGATTTAGAAAAAATTTGTAAAATTAGTGTTTACGAGGATAAACTTGTGAAATCAGCAGGTTCGAAACATGTGGCTATCATGTTGCATTTGAATAATTATCAAAAACATGTTCGCGATTTAATCAAAAATTCAAGAGATGCCCACGGAAATCCTATATTTGACAAGAAGGAAATTGATAAATTTCAAAAAGAGTGAGGGAAAATTGCTGTAGAAGTAGCACTTCAAACCATGAAAAGAGGCTATGCAAAGTTTAGAACTGATGCAAAAGGCTTAACTCTTAAAGAGTTAGAAACTAGAAAACTTGAGTATGTTCACCACCAAGAAGTTTCGAAGTGATTACTTCCTGATAAAGGTAAATTAGAAGACTTAGTTTCTGGTGAAACAATCAATTTGTGAGACAAATGAAACATGATAACTGCTGATAAACGAGTAGGTTTAGAAAGCATTCATGCGGAATTAGGAAAAAAAAGAAGTGAGTTAACTAAAATTAGTCTTCAAAAAGCTGACAAAGAACAAAAACTAATCCAAATCCAAAATCAAATCAAAGCCCTCGAAACTGGAAGGATTGATCATTTACGAACTCAACTTAAACATTTAGGAGATAAACTAACTAATCCAAGTGATGTAAATGTTATTATCACTTATCAAGAAACAATTGCCATTAGAACTTTGATTTACTTCTTAACTGATTTAGAAAATGAGGGCAAATTAGAAACTCCCCTTATGGCTACTGAAAAAGGATATCTCACTAAAGCAGAACAATTAGAAACTATTCAAAATGCTCAACTTCCTACTTATAGCACTTGACAAGGTTTAGGTACTAGTTTTCAAGAAAGACTAAATAATTGAGAAAAAAAAGAAGGAAGAAACCTAACCTCAAAAAGCATTATAACTTATTTTGATTTACTAAAAAGTGAGTTAAATAATGCTCAGCAAACCATTGGTCTTAGTCCAGAAGAAGAAACAGAATTATTAGTGATTAACAATTACTTAACTGAACCAGAATTAAGAAGTGAAAATCTTCAGTCAGTTTTCAAGATTGATGCTGATATTACTACTTCTTTAGTTCAAGAATGAAAAAATTATGGTGATAAAAAGCTCTTTAAAAAAGATGAAGGTCAATTAGAAAAGATTGGAAATATCATGAATGATTTGGATGATGTTGGGCCTTTCTTTATTCACCTCAAAACTTACTTAAAAGATAAAAAAGGACTCCCTTCTTTTCCTGATGATGCTACTGCTGAACAAGATAAACTAAACTGATTTCTTTACTTTACCTCCTCAACATGTAATTGGAGCAATCGCTGATTTCCATCTCAAAACTAACAGTGCTAAGAAAGGAGAAATTGAAACTGAAATGAAAGCTGATCGGAATCCAGCAGACCAAACTAAAAACTTAGATTGGAACCTCTATGGGGATGTAGCTAGTCCAACTGAAGCAGGAATTAAAAAATACTATTTCGAAAAACTCGCAGGAATTAACCATAGTTATGCTAAACAAAAAGCTACTGAAAGCAAACCTACTTCCAAAGAAGAAGGATTCTGAAGAACTAATAACCCAGCTGCTTGGTTATCCTTTCTTGGTTTACTCTTGTTATTCGCAGGAACTATTTGAGCTATTCTCAAAAGAAAAACCCTTTTCCAATGATGAAATGCTCCCTCTGAACTAGAAGAAGAGGATGATGAAGATGATGATTAATAATGATTTGATTGTTTATTCTGCCAGTCTTCTTTTCTTTCTTGGTTTATCATGAGTTGATGTTAAGGTTCATTTATTGCTTATTATTTTCCTTTCTATTTAAATTTCCATCTCTTTTCTTTCCCTAAATAAGTTTCAAGTGCTTGAGTATCACTTAATTTGAAAACATAAGGAGCAATTTTCTCACCTTGTTCTTTCTTCAAAATACTTCTAATGGTGCTATAATTCCTGGGTTCCATAGTAGACCTAATGTAAATGAGTTTCATCTTAACTATTTTTATACAGGAATAGTTCTATATATCACTTAAGATAACAAATGGGATATTATAAACTGTTAATTATAATCACATTATGAAATGACTAAATTTTGAACCCTGAAATTCTTGGTAATACCAATGTTCACTTTGTCTGGTTTTGTTGCAGTATGCCCCATTTAAAAAAAACAGTATTGATTTTATAACACTTTTAAATTGGCATTAAAATTGATTCAATAAGTTTGGTGGTTTCAAATTCATTTTTAAATTGCATATATAAACTCTCTAAGTCAGTTTACTTTGATAAGTCAGTCATATGAGCTCACCCCCATATGACCAACTTATCGAGTTTACATATTATTATATAATATCAAGTGACTTGAAAATTTACTATATGTTGCAGATCACCACTCTATTATATCACAAGAATGACCAATTTCCGCCACATGATTTAATTGACTATTTTTAATCACTATTTAGCTATTTGGGTTGATCAAAAAAAAAAAAATTTATTAGTTGACTAAAATAGTCAAATAGTTGATTCCAATCTCTAAAATATTATTATGTATAGAAAAACCAATAAAAAATATGAAATTGAGCCATGGGTCAGGGGGCCTAGACCATTATTTCATTCAAAATAGTAGGACACAGTTGTAATAATGATGATATCATGATTATAGATGTTAGCCGAAATTGCCTCTCTTAATAAATGATCATTGCCAAATCCGAAATGCCAAAATAGTTTCTGAAATTAACTTTATTAGTTGCCAAAATTATATCCAAAATTATTTGGATTCATTAACATAATAGCCAAAATGCTAGGTTGTCTTTTTATGGTCTTTAATATGAAAAATATTGTGAATCTGAAATTGCTTGCTGAAATTGATTTTTTCAAAAACAATTTCAGCTAACATCCTTAGTGCATATTATCTAACCCAATTTGTTAATTATTTGCAGATAATTTCCAAAATTGGTTAGACAATGTGCTCTGTGCACATAAATCAATCAATTTATGTCATTGAACCAAAGTTCACAAGTTCAAATGATTTTTTGAACTGGTTATTTAACTGACAGTTCAAAAGTTAAATAACCGTCATTGCCAACACTGCCAACAAAGTGATAAAGATGCAATTAATTCATAATTCGACCAATGATAAATTAATGGGCACATGACTTGGAATTTATTTTTATGGACAATGATTAAACAATAAAAAGAAAATTATATTTTTATTTAAATTTAACTACTAATAGAAAAATAGTTAATATGAAGTTAATTTACATCAGATCTACTATGGGACCCAAGAATTATAGCATCATTAGAAGCATTCTGAAGAAAGAACAAGGCGAAAAAATTGCTCCTTACATTTTTAAATTAGCAGATACCAAATCTTTGCAAACATATTTACACAAAGAAAGGATTACCTATGAAGTTTATCAAGAAGAAAGAAAAATAATAAATGTTAGAAAAAGAAAGCATCATGATGATGCATTATTACCTAATAAAAAGCAGAAATCCTTAGAAGGAAAATAATCATAAATTGCATTGTTTATCAATAAAAAATGTTTTTGTTTGAACAAATTTTACATTTGAGGATATGTTTATAAATCTTTGTTTTTCTCTCATTGAAGTTGAAGCAAGGTAAATAATCCCATCTCGTATTGGAACATTATGAAAACATTACCAATTCACTTAATTTTCAGGTAAATAACAAATCCTTCTAATAATCACCATTGACAATTTTATTTTTGTTTAAAAAAAATAAATAATAAATGTTTTCATCCATAATAACATTTTTTAAAAAAATGCTTACATTCAATGGTGAATTTTTTTGCAAGTTGTTAATTGGAGTTTTCCTTGATTTCTTATTTCACTATAAAACTTGCAAAAATCAATTTTATATTACCAAGAAAAAGCCAATTCAAAAATAAATCGGACAAACTTACTAGTGATAAACAATATTCACAAGAAATAGAAATCTATGAAAGGATTCCAAGCAATTATTTGACAAAACAACTGGGTTGAATCCCAAGTTTTTCATTTGGTGAGATGGCCATGGAAATTTGTGAATTATTTGGTGAGAAAAAAGTTGCTGCTTCTATTGTTAAAAATTTCTATCAACGAAAAACAAACCCTAGAAGCAAAATGATAGAAGCAATTCAACAGTGGGTTGAGAAAGAAAAGATGAAAGAGGTAGAGAGTGAAGATGAAAAAGATAATGAAAACAACAAAGATATGAATATTAACAATGATATTATTGATAATAATAATAGTAGTAGTAATAGTGAAAGTTGGATTTTTGTCAGAGTGCTCAAAGAATAGGTAATACTCACAATGACTTTTGGTCCAAGTATTTTCCTCCCATGCAAGTCTGACAATTTTTTAACTTATATTTTTATATAGAGGTAATTCTATATTATCACTTAATATTAAATATAACAAATGGGGGATTTTAATAATCACATTACTAAATTTTGATCCCTGAAATTCTCAGCAAACATGCCCATATATTCATTTCTACTGATCAATCATTCTTTATCTTTTTCAACCAAATTTGGCACACAGTGACTAACCTTTTGAAAAACTCTTTTTAACCTCATAAGGTGCTGGATATCTAAATATGCTGTTTCGATTGCCACGGTTAAACCTGATTCGTATAATTGTGACGAAATATTTCATATTAATATGACATGAAATATTCATGTAAAACGAATGGTGTCAACACTATTACGAATGAATTGGTAAATGGACACATGCATCCAAGAAAAAAAGGTTGAAATCACCATTACGTTGTTGACCAATTGTATACAACTGGGGAAATCCCATAATGTAAATCTTTTTCAATAACCAACACAGGCAATAAGATGTTGGGCGAAACAAGTTTAGGCAACCGAAACTAGTTTCTCCCACCATCTTTAACAGGAAATGATGAAAAAAATGCATATATTGTAAAATGACAAAGTCCATGATTTGTAATAGTAAAGTGATGTGCACGAGAATCCAACGATGCTTGTGTAAAATAGCATCTACCATGCGCTATGTTATGATCACTTGGCCTTGCTGCTGTAGACTTTCTTTTCCTGTTATGCGCCATCTCCAATTGCCAATGTGACGTGATATTTTAATTTTTGTCTTATGTAAAATTATTGCTTTTGAACAGAAACTCTCCGCTCTACAACAAATCACTGCATCACATAATAACTACATTAAAGTTACACTATCAACCACAGCAACAGGATGTGATCTTTGTATATTGGTCTTTGAAATATAAGGAAATGAACTTTGAAATGTAGAAAGTGCATTTATTTTAAATATATGAAATATGCCAAAACAGTAAATATCGAGGGTTCCGTATTTCGCTAAAAAAAATTCAAATTGTAAAAATATAAGATCAAAATTTTTCAGGATAGATTGATTTACTTTATTTCTAAAAATCTTCAAATTGTATATTTTGACACACGCACTGCCCGGAAGAAAGTATATAGACGCACTTTTTTCGAAAACATCATTTTGTAGCTTAGGGTTTTTGCCAAAAAATTTTAATAAAAGTGGCAAAAGGATTTAAATTTTGCATATCAACATATTAAAGCTGCCATTTCAAAGATTAAAGTTTTCCAAAGGATTTTTATTAAATGCGGAGAGTAGGTCAGACCTTTATCCCTTTTATTCTAGTGATAAAGCTACAGCCTTTCGGAAATTGTCTGCGTGTGGTGATTAAAAGTGCAAAAAATTCAACGTGTCAAAATTTCAGATATGTATGCTATTTTGAAGCGAGGAAAAAAACTTGGTCAAAAGCTTTTAATTACTATATATTCATATTTATATTTAGTGGGTAATATAAGAGCCTAATTTATAAATTAGGTTTATCTCGTGTAACGATTTTTTGAGTGAAAAAATATTCCTTATCATCATCGATTCCTATCAATAATAATCAATATATATATTTGTAATAATTAACGGATTGTTAGGGTAAATTGTTGTTTGATTTAATTGATTCTGAATTTGTTTTCGATATGATGTGCAGGATTCATTTAATGTGTTGGTTGACACCTTACAGATTTAAAATATGAACTAAGAGCAAAGCGAAGAACCTTTAAATTAATGTAAATTGTAATATTTTACCAGGATTAGTTTCATTATATTATACAACCAAGGCAAGTTTGTGGATAGAGGTAAAATAGCAAGAGTATTAGAATTTGGATTATGAGGAAGGAGGATGAGGAACAGGATTACGAGATCAAGAAGTCAAGGATATAAAGAAAACATACAAGAACAAGTGGAAGAAGTGGAAGTGGAAATCCATGTGGTGATGAGAATCAAGTGTGAATGGTAATTAAAATTATTTTGATCAAAAATCCAACACCATCAACTCCATAGTGATTCTAAATAATTAAACTGCTAGAATAGAACATTAATAACAATGGTGCAACAATATAGCATGAAAAAGAAATTTATTATTATAATTATAAATATAATGATGGTGATGATGATAATAATAATATGTTGGAGAAGGGAATGTAAAATATTACAAGATAGAATTAATGATTTAATGAATAATAATAATATAATAAACTACTTTTTTTTCCTCTACATACTGTATTGCATTCTATTGTATTTGTAATCGATTCTTTTAACTCCAACCAGCACATTTACTTGCAATCCCTGAACCCAATAACCATACACTTTCCCAATATAGGATTAACTGTGAAACTGATTTTTTACCGTTTTTGATGAAATCTTTATCGATTCCATAACGAAAGTCGCCATTATGATGATTTCTTTTTAATATTTTTATCCTACCACTATAATAGCCTTCATCTTTAGAGTAAAGGTTGTCAGCATCATAATTCCCACACTCATGGTTGTCATTCATTAAATCTTCCAACTTTATTTTCCATAATGATGATTTTTTCTTTACTTGCTTTTCTTCTTCCTGTTGTGGTTGTTTCTCAATAAAAACTGAGGGAATACGCCTTCGTAATGGAACTTTTCTACGAATGGCCATTGCCACATACTTCAATTCAAAGATATCCATATATGTCTTTGTATCTAGGAAATTATTAGATGAGGTGAGATGAAATGTGATAAAATGTAATATTAAAGAAAGATTAATGAGATGACAATAGTTGAAAGTTTTTTTTCTCCAGTTGATTTTTTGATATAATTATAATAAATAAGAAACAAATGAATGAATGAATGAATTAATGAATGAATTAATGAATGAATAAATGAATTGTTTTTTGATAAGAAAAATTTTATTGTTTTCCTAGAACAGAGGAAGTGATAGATAGTCGCACACTTAACAACTCCTGTTTATTATTATTGTTATTGGTGGTTTTAAGCTGATAATTATTAAATTTTTAAAAATTTTTTTTTGTTAGTTATTGTTATATATATTAATTATATTATTAACCCTTATCCTATTTTATATTAAATTTTATTTAATGTGTAATGTTTTACAATAAATATTTTTTTTATTGTTTTTTTTAGATTTATTTGTAATAATCAAAAATATTATTGTCAAATAAGATATAGTAATGGTGATAAAATATTTTCATAATCTAGGTTATATATACAACTTTTTGATGTCAATAAAATAAAATTTAATAACTTTTCAAATTTTTTTCCTTTTTGATATAAATTAATTTATAATTTCTAATTCCACCTGACCCCATTGTCATCCAAATTAGCATTAGTATTAGTTAGCCATTAACCATCATCGCTATAATAACTTAAAAAATATTTCGCCAACAAGCAAAAAACTCGTAATGTCAATATTCTCGAAGTTCGGGACAGAAACGTGTCACTTTTATTCGTAGTGACGAGAAATATATTAATATTAAAGACGAAACCATTGATAACCATGATGGTTTCACACATTATAACAATTGTATCGTAGAATCAAATCAAATATTGTTCAAATTTTGGTGAATTCAAAAGAAACAAACTTCTTCTTCGGATACATTATTATTATCATCAAAGCGTAAATTTTAGCAACAGCTCCGTTAGCAAAACAAACTCTCTCAAATAAATCTAGCCAAAGATAAAGGAAAGAATCTTTTAGTCCCAATTAATTTAGCATTATTGATGAAAGAAGCAATCTTCACAATGATAATAATTATTATCAATAACAATTGGAGCCTTCAACTATCTTCACACAAAAACAAGATGAATGTCATGTTGGCGAAGATAAAACAAATTCAAATTAAATTCGTTGGACATCTCCAAGATATAAGAACTAAAAAAAAAGCGATAGCAACATAACATCTGGTGATGACAAACCGTATGATGCCGATCATTTAATTAAAGCAGAAGATTTATACAAGTAATGCCCAAAAAGCTGATTCAGGAACATTACTATTAACCAATCGATAACGAATCGACAAAGAACTTTAAAACAGGACGAATGTTCTAATGCTTTTGATGCTAATATGGTATTAGACACTGTAGATATCTTGTCACAAAACTCAAATTCGATCTATTTTATTACTTAACAATGAAGGATCAGTAGAATCAAATATACTTTTTCCATTTCTGCTCTAATACTTTAGTACAAGATTTATAATTATTTCGAGTTTATTTTAATATTAATTAAATTCTAAAAACAAAAAAATCAAAGAGAACAAAATTATTAAACTATTTATTTAGTCATCATCGTCTTTAATTCTTTGGAAATTTTTTTGCAAGTTTCTTGAGTTGTTGCACACATTTTTTTCTGTCTCTTGATTTGGGTTTAGTGCATTTCTTGACCATTTTTTTGTCTTTAGCACTCAATTTAGTAGTATCAATCTTTTTGATCAAAGATTCCATTTCACTGTCACCTTTAGGAGGGTCTGCAGATTTACTTGACTCGGCAGGAATAAGTGTTTTTCCATTTTGCACAAATGTTGGAATTTCTGAACTTTTGGGGGTTGGTGATTCGAATGGAGGTAAATTCTTGGGATTTGGTGAAGGATCTTGATTTTGGGTTAGGCCGTCCAACTCTTTGTTTCTTGGTTCTCGGTCACATTTTGCAGATGGTTGTCCATCATTTGGAGTGTTTCTTTCTGCTTGTCTCAATTGTTGAGCAAGCTTAATCATTTCACTTTGTGTTTTTGCATCACCTTCTTTACCAATTATATTAGCCATATCAACAAAATTGTCACAGACGTCCTGTTGATCACATTTGGGTGCCGCAGCTAATAAAGAACGAACATAGGCACCAGTCAAATTACCCGTGTAAGCGCTTTTATCACCAGCAGGAGGTAAGGCTCTCATCTGGGCTAAAACACCATCCTGTAGATTTTGTTGACCAAATCTTGCATCAACATTGACAATTAAAGAAAAGGCTAATACGGCAGCGCCAATAGCTTTAGATAAATTCTTCATGTTTTTTAATATTTTTTTTTAAAGAAAAAAGAGAGTGTGTATATAGTATATTCAATATACTTTTGATGATTTTGTGCAAATTATTTTGTATACTTCCTTCGAGGAAGATAAAGAGTAAAAAAGAAAGTAGGAAAGAAATAAAAGATAAAAAGTATTTTTTTTTTTGGAGAAGTTGATTGTTGATTATCTGGGGAAAATAAAGCTGATATTTATAATCAATTTTTCTTCCTACATTTAATAATAATCATTCTCTTGCTTCAAATTGAAAATATCATTTCATTCATTCAATTGGTGACGACGACGATCGGTTCATTCATAATTTCTGGTTAATACATGATGAAACAATTTTAGCATGTTAATTTAAAATCGCCGCAGTAGATAATGTTCTAATTTGCATGATTTCATGCACCACAAAACTGATTAATATAAGGGTGAAACATTAGACCTGATTACAAATGTTTTCTTTATATATTAATACTAAGTAAAATGGATTTTTTGTCCAAGAAGGTCATACGTTACTTCTTTTTTAATTAATAAATTACATCTCTCAAGTAAGAATGATATTAAGAATGAACCAATTTTGGAAAATTTCCTTAGATACAATTTGTAAAAGCATTTAATTAATATTAAATATTAAATTTATTACTATTACTATGGTGCAAGTTACTTAGTCGCTGAACTTTTTTATTGATTTAGACCTTTATTAAATTTTTATGGGTTCTTTAAAATCATTAAAAACAAAAACAATAGTAATGTGATCGCACCAATCTAACCATTAAAATCATTGACCTTTTAAATATTATTAATGAATAATAATAAAACATAAAATTCCGCCACAATTATTGGTTAAGTTTTATGTATGTGCTTTCTCAGCTTTAAAGCCACACGACAGATAAATTTTTTGATTTGCCAGCAACCAAGTAACTTGCACTAGGAACCATGGACAATAATTGAGGTCGCATTCTCATGAGGAAATCATAATATTATGCCCATAAGTTTTAACATATAATTTTATTTATACTAAATGCAATATCATGGCAAAGCTCTGGACGGCTGGGCTAATACTGAAAGTTTTCGGGTCGGGTTTGGTTTAAAAATTTTGACCCGAAACCAAAGCTTTTTAGATCGTAGGTCAAAATTATTAAAAATTCCAAAATTTACATTGTACCACCCTATCATAATTTTATACAACTGATGGGTAAACTCCTAAAAACTGTCAAACCTATGAACAAAGTTTATGATAAATAAAACGGATTTATCAAAGTGCCGTCCGATTGTACGCCGGACATGTGATCTATATTAATATAGTCTCTTTCGTTTTATTATTTTATTATATTTATTAATTACATTAATTATAAATAATGATCTAATTCGTTTTATAATAATAAACATTTTTATAATTTAATAATAAAACAATCAATTCTTTTTTTTTTTTGCTCAATAAAACACTTTTTGTGGTCGGAAATTAAAAGTAGTAGTAGGGTTTAATATTAATTGACCGCTTGGTTTTCACCCGCAGTTTAGGCTTCGCCAACTTCGCCGCGAAATTAAGCCTAAAATAGGGGCTACCATCACTAGCCTTGTGTCTTAATTGTGTATTGCGTCATTAATTGTTTTGAGTTACGTCTTGCGTCATTAATTGTCTTGCGTCATGAATTGCATTCTACATCTCTTGCATCACGAATTGTGTTTTGTGTTACGCATAACACCAATTGCAAGCTTTTAAACCAATATAACTGTTTCGCCTTTTTATTTAATTAATAAAATTTAGGTGAATAAAATTCATTTAAATTTAATCCGAAATCAACCTGAATCCGACCCGTTCGGTGATTTAACCATAATTATGTAAATTCGCACCAGAAAAAATTTCCGATGATACTATGTAAACATGGCCTCGACTATAATTGTTCATGGTTTTTTTTCACGATTAATAAATAGAGCCATCATTTGCCCAATACGCAAGTGCTCCTTTTGCAATACTCGATTTAGCAGATCAATATAACAGATTCTACCAGTGTGTATACACATTAATAAAAAAATATTATTATCTGCAATCGCAAAATTAAGAGGTAAATAGTTTGTAGCGAATAGAAATTGGAAGAATACAGCAAATACAAAACGATACAATAAAGAAAGTTTGCCGCATTCAGAAATCCCCACATCAAACTTATTCTTCAGTTCCCTGAGGCAAATCACCAAATATCACCCCAAGGTATCCATCCACTCATCACCTTTTCTAATTTACTTTTTTCAGTAAAATCTTTTTGTATTCGGTTTTCAAAGAGTAAGATAAGAGATACATCTCCCAAAACAATATAAAACTTTCTAATAGCTTCTACTCGTTTATAATCACTGTACAATTTTTCATTTATTCATGAATAAAAATATTTTACGTTAAAACTGACTAAAATCAAATTATCAATGTATGATTTAACCTCATGCCACCACAACAATCAACATCACAAAATAATTAATAATAATAATTAATAAAAATAATTATAATAATAAAAGTAATTAAGATAGTAACAAATAAAACAATAATATTATTAAAATAGTAATAATTAAGTAGTAATAATAATCAATATAGTAAAAAAAATCAGTGCAGTCATTACAAGCATGGTGGGGTATTTTGAGAAAATTCACCACCAACTTTGTTTATTGGGATAAGCTCTACAAAGTTATTGGTTGGTTTCTCCAGAAAACATCTCTATGCTAGTTGTTTCAAGTTGCAGTACTTTTATAAATTTGAAACATATCTAATGGAAGCCTTATGATCCTAATGATGTGATTGTCAAATTAAAAAGTTACCACACCATATTTTTATTTGTCCAAACGCATTTGGTACGTATTTTGGTCAAGTTATGAAATTTTGGGAAACATTAAGGCATTTCAAAATTTAATAATTTCAGATTTGGCTAACACTTTAGTATAGATGTCATAAATGAATTTCCTACATTGTCACAATCAAAAAAACTTACATGGGTGCTGTTGCAACCATTAGGTATCCTTACTACATTAGTTATGGTAATGGTTATGACAACTTTATTAGTATCCATTATATCAAGAGTTGCTATGTAACATCTTCAGGGATGATGAACTTTGAACAAGAAACTTTAAAACACTTTAAAAAAAGAAAGTGCCTAATGCAATCTTAGTAAAGTCCTTGGCCCTCCGCCTCACTCTGAAATTTTGATTGCATAAAACCTTTTTCAGACCAGAGATCAAGGTTGTTCGTTCGTTTTTTTGACCTTTGACAAATGATTGGAATAATTTGATCCCTGAAATTTCATTGTGACATAATGTTCACATTTGCTCATGATTTGATTAGTTTAAACAGTAAATATATATATATATATAATAATACCATCCTCCTCTAATAAAACTGTCTTAAAAAAACATAATAATAAAGACACGGTCTTTATGGCAAATAAAAACCTCACCCTGCTCTTTGTTAAATCATCATTATTATTATTATGTCATATTGAGCTAGTGTTGGCCCAATTACGTAACATTGTGGATTACGTAACATTGGAAAAAAAACAATAATAATAATATTAATTAACAGATAAATAATATTATTATTCCAATTCATTCCTTATATAAAATTTCTTTAAAGCTTCAAAAATCAAGTTACAAATCTACAAATTTTTTCTTTGGAACATTTCATAATCACAAAGTAAAAAAAAAATGGAAAATCTTGCTGCATATCTGTTTGGCAATGTGAATGAAGAAGGTCAACTGGAAGATTCTGGTTTAGATGAAGTTTGTATTAGTCATACATCTACACGTTATAACGAGCCTAGAAAGCTTATTGGAAAAGCCCCATAAATATATATAATTTATTTTTAATATTTTTCTTAAACAGGAGGTTCGTGAGTCATTACAAAAAGTTGCAGTTGGGGATGTTGTAAATCAAATATTTTCAGATCAAACATTAGGATTTGATGAGCAACAAGTTTCAACAAAAAAAAATAAACCAACTCTTCAGATTGCTCCACTACCACCTCCACCCTTACTGTTCACAATAGAACCAAAAACTTTGTATCCTGCATTTGAAAAAGACAAAGTATTAAAATTCTCTGAACTTTTTGCAACAAAATGCACTCGAAAAAAATTACGCGACATTAAAAAATATGGTATTGGTTAATAATAATGATAGTAATACTTGGCATATATATATTTGTGTGTTTATTTATATGTGTTTAATCATTGTAGTTGAGCCTGTAAGTTTAGAATTTGATATAGACGAAAGACAATTAGTTGAATCATCATCATCCAAATTATTTGAAGATTTGATAGCCGATGGATCTAATACGACAGAAGAAGAATTAGCAAAGTATTTTCCATCGTTCTCTGATGATGATGAGTCAATGGAATATGACAATAACATAGATAATAATGATTCTGATTCATATGATGTAGGATGTTCCTCTTTTTTATAATTTATGATAATATAATAATGATGGTATAATATGATATAATATGACTTATATTTATAGGTCATAATGGATGAAGGAGATCAACAGCAAGAAGAAAAACAATTAAAATGGCAAATGCCTGTAGAATCAGATTCATTTTTTCCTTTTATGATGGATACTTGGGAAGACAAGATTATATGGGATGATGAAGAAGAGGACGAAGAGGATGAATATGGTAGTAATGATGAATATAAAAGGTAATAATAATAATATAATTATTACAATACATAATTGATGCTAATAATAATAATTGTTTTCTAATAATTATATTGTTATTCAATAGTCAAAACCATTTGATGATCCCGGTATTATTATTATTGCTATTGTTATTGTTATCAAAGAGAAATAAACCATTCAATTAATTAACGATTCAAATTTTATTATTTATTGACATCAACAACTGCTACGGTAAAAGAATACAGGGTCAATCATTGGTTATAGGAATTTAGAATTAGAAAGTGGAGAATGGATCAATAATATATTGTGGGATAATCGTAATATAGACAATGATGCATCACCATTATATTCTCGATTAATATTAGACATGAATGATCCAAATATACTTTTTGAACAGCCAGTTCAACCAAATAACCAACCACAACAGCAACAAAAACCTTCATTAATATCTGATAACACTCAAAAGTTATTATTTAATTTTGATTCGCAAAGTATGATTTATTATTTATATATTTTTAATAAATGTAAAAAAACAAATATAAAGGTTTTATTATAATTGGATTTTGTTTTAAAAAATAAATAAATAAAGTATTTAGGAAAAATAGTAGGAAATTCAGTAAAAATTTTATTGAGGTAAATTAGAAATTAATGAATTAATGAATTATTTATTTTTTTTTTATGAGCAAACAATTGAAATTTTCAATTATTTATAGGGTGAAGATAAAATAATTAAAATTCACAAGTACAAAACTTCTGATGATAATAAAGAAAATTATTTGCAATATAATGTTGAAAATGTTGAAAGAAGAAATTGTAGAAAGAGGCTTAATTTTGGTCAAATGTTTATAAGACATTCTTTACCGGCGCTTAAATTACATCCACAATATGTGAGTTAATAATAATAACATTAATCTTAAAATCAGAACAAATTCAATGACACCTATTTATTATAATAATTATTTTTCAACAGTTTAAAACTAAGTTTACAAAATCTGAAATTCGAGCATTGCATCGTCCAACAATTCAAGTTCCAGTCGGAGAAGTAGTTCATTTTAGGAAAATTAGACGCCATCACCGAAAAAATAAAAGAAAATTACGTTCTAAACATGAAAAAATGAAAAGACCTAAAGATTTATCACTAAAAGACAACGAAGAATTTGTTTTACTTGAATATTCTGTATGTGTTATTTATAACCATCCTCAATATATATATATATATATTGAAAGAAAAATAATCATAATTAATAAAATACCACTATTATTGTTATTATTGTTCTATTATTTATACTATTTTATATATAATAGGAAGAATATCCACCAATATTATCAAATATTGGAATGGGAAGTTTGCTTTTAAATTATTACAGAAAGATTGATTCGAATGATACTTATATTCCAGCGGTAATTATAAACTTAATTGATTAATTTGGTATACATGATTATGACTACTCTATTAATAAAATATAATGATGATGATAAATGATAGCTTGATATTGGTTCACCTGTAATTCTTGATGTCATGGATGAATCACCGTTTATGAATTTTGGGAATGTTGAACGTGGTCAAGTCATCACAACCTTATATAATAATTTATTTCGAGCTCCACTATTTAGGCATGATCCAAAAGATTCGGATTTTTTAGTCCTCAGGTTTTTTTATTTAAAAATAATTTTAATAATTTAAATATTATCTAATTTTAAATATATATATATGTATTTATATATTAATTATCATCATTGTCTTCTTTAATTATTTTCCTTTTAAAAAAAAAATAGAACTACTTTCAAAAACAAGTCAAAATACTATATACGTGAAATTAAGAATATTTTTGTGGTGGGTCAAACATTTCCTATGCAAGAAGTTCCATCTCCACCATCAAGAAAAGCAAAAGCTACAATAGCAGCTCGAATACAAGCTACAGCATTACGACTTATGAAAAGAAATAGGTACCATATAGTAACACATGATCAACTGTTAAAAAGATTCCCAGATTATAAAGAGGACACAATTCGTTCACGTATGAAGGTTTGTATTATATAATGTTTTTTGGAGAGAAATTAACAATCGAATAATGATAATAATAAATATGTATGTATATATTTGTATCTATAAAGGAGGTAGCAGAGTTGGTTCGTAAAAAAGGTACTGATAACAATATACAAATTTGGAAATTGAAACCTTCACGTGGCGTCCCAAGTGAAAAAGAAATAAGGAAAATCCTTAGTCCAGAAATGGTACATACACACACACACATATATATAATTTTGTGAAATCTTTAAATCTAAAAAAATTTTATCATCATCATCATCATTATTATTATTATTATTATTAAGATTTGTTTACAAGAAAGCTGGCTACTTGGTAAACGACATTTGGAAGATGCAGGATATAAATTAGGTGATGATGATGATGACGATGTTCAAGACGAAAGTCAACGTGCTCTTAAGGAATCCAAATTGGCTGTGGAAGAACAATTAGCACCATGGATTACGACAAGGAATTTTCTAAATGCCACACAAGTATGATTATCATTAATTGTTAATTTATTGAAAAAAAAATTTTATTTATTTATAAAATTAAAAAAAAAAAATTTTTAATGCATAGTCAAATGCCATGTTAAAATTACATGGAGAAGGTGATCCAACCGGAAAAGGCGAAGGCTTCAGTTTCATTAGAATTTCAATGAAGGATATATTTTTAAAGGCTGGAGAATCTGCTAAAGATAAGCTTGGTAATTAAAAATGCTTAATTCATTTATTAATTCAATCATGTATTTATTTGATTTTTTTTATAGCCGAAATAGAAAATAAGCCAAAGAGTGGCCATAAATATACTGTTTTAGATCAATGGAAAAGATATTATCAAGAGGTATTTTAATATTAATGTTTATTTTTAATTCTAATTTATTTTAAATAAATAGTATATATCGGTTTTTAGATCGGTCGAATTTGGAATGCACAGTTTTCATCACTTAGTAAACGAGAAGATTCGACATCTTTTATCGATCAAAGTAGATATAATAATGATTTATCTGATATGTTTGTTGATCAACAAGATATTAATAATGAAGATAATGAAGATAATGAAGATAATCAGGTAAAAAAAATTTCCCTTTTTATTTTAATAAAAAAGTAATTAAAATTAAAAAATCTTTTTTCTCCTTAATAGGTTGATAGTGATGTGGATATGGAAAATGTGGAAATGAATGATTTAATGGAATCTGCAATGCCAGATCAAACACAATCACCAGAATCAATGATGGACTATGATGATATAACATCTGTAGATGGTAGTATAACTTCACGTACAAATTATGATTGTAGTTCTCATCGAAACAGAGCATTGGTGATAAATCGTTCGGTATGTTCATCTATATCTATTTTCTATATCATTTATATATCTATTCATGCATCTTTAAAGAAAATTTTTGAGTGTAGATAAGGTCAGATAATGGTGAAAAAAGGTGGACAAAAGAATATATAACTGATCCTTCAGTAATTAATGCGTATATTCGTCAAAGACAAGTTATTGAAGAACAAACATTAAAGTAAAGAACAAAAAAATCAAAATTTAGTCATCCTATTTTTTTTTAATAATTATGATGACAATAATAATAATAATGGAATTTTTTTATAGTACTGAAACGTTGGAGCCAACCAATGATGAAGAAAGAAACGAACGATTAAAAAAGAGGTAAATCATTAACAATTTTTTAAAAAAAATAAATAAATATTTAATACTCATGTTGTTATAATATAATTATATAATTAGAATTCAAGATCAGTTGGCTAGATTAAAACGAAATCAAGAGAGACGCCAGCAACGTCTGGCTGTTCGTGAAGCTAAAAAAGCTGCCAAATTATCTGCTGCTGGTAACGTTACTTCTGCATCATCTATCGTTAAAGAAAAGAAGACTGAAACAACAGTGGCAAGCATTTACAATTATAATTACATTTATCATTATTATTATCGCTTGTTTACTTACTGCTTGTTATTAATTGATTACCTTTTTCTTAGAGACGATGTGGAAATTGTGGAGCTTTAGGTCATATGAAAACAAACAAGAAATGTCCATTATATAATAGTAATAATATTCCGTCGGAATCTTCTACAACCACTGTACCAACTACCAATAGAATTATTATAAAAATTAATAAAAATACTACATGAAAAAAAAAAAATAATTATTATAATTACTATTAGTATTATAGTAAAATAATTTTATATTATTAAAAAATCTGTAATTCATTAATAAATATATGTTTGCAATGTTAAAAAAAAAAAAATGTATTTTTATTATTCTTTTTTATATAAATAGAGAAAAGAATTTTGACGACAACAGCAGGGTTTGAACCTGCGCTCCCAATGGGAATCAGATTTCAAGTCTGACGCCTTAACCACTCGGCCATGTTGTCATTTTGAGGAATTATCCATTAAAATTTTATTTTATTTTATTACATATTTAATATAGACTTATAGGCTTGCATATTTGTAGCATGGAGGACATTCTAAAATTGGTAATGATTTTTGTAGATCATATTTTGATTTTATCACGAAATTTGCCCGAATAAATTACACAAAAAGTCGAGGAAATTCTTGCTAGCCCAGTATTTAACCAATTATAAAAAAATATACAAGTTTTTATCAAATAGATATTGGAAGCAAATTTTTATTCACGTCATCTAATAACCATTAATTTAACAATAATTATAGAATGACTATTATCCATGAAATAGATAAATAGATATATACATATTATACAAATTTATTATTATCCACGAAATAGATGTATATTATATAAAATTATTAATTAAACAATAATTGTTTGTTTCTTTCCTATTTATCTAATAATAAATAAATAAATAAATATGTAAATAAAGATATCATACAAAATTATTAATTTAGAATTATAGAACAACTACCTTGTTTCTTTTGTGTGTCCTCAAGTTCCCCTCAAAAACTTCCAATTTCTTCACTCCCTTCTCATAATCCATTCTTATTCTTGTCTAATTTCTTCTATAGTCGCCATTCTTAAAAGATTTAAAAATTAAAAAAAAAATTTCTTTTAGGTCGTAATTGTTACAATTAATTATTTCTATGCATGAATAAGGTTCATCAAGTCAAAACTTGTTCAGAAGCAAAAGCTTTTAAATAGTTCTTTTATTAAAAGAAAAGTAGAAAAGGTTATCCTGAAAATATAAGAACTTTATATATGTTCATTAAAAACAATTTTATGGTTGAACGATTGAAGTCTATTTACTAAGCATCAATGTATGAAATTGTGAAACTATCAAAGCCTGCGATAAGTAAAACAAATCAAAGAATAAGTTCGAATGGCTAAGTTTCGCAACTGTATAAAAGTCAAAAAGTTTGTCATAATAATAAATCGAAACCACACTTGACATTTGATTTTTGATTTAGTTACAACTAAGGTTGCGGGAGAAACTCCTCCAGAAATCAATCGACAGAGTTTCGACAGGTTACACATTAATTGTTCATTAGAGTTTCGACAGAGTTTCGACAGTCATTAAGAGGTTTCGCCCACAACCTTAGTTACAACATATAACATTTCAATTTAGTTTTGGGGACCAACACTAGTCGATATATATTCTGACTTCAAGATATACCATGTAATGTCCAACCATATAAAATCGTTGTTTTTCACTGATATGGCACCGCCCCTTTAATAGATTATTAATTGAATCTCTTAACCGATAATTTGATCTTATCCAACAAGCTTTTCTTTCTAGAAGTGGCGGGGCAACAAAGAGGGCAAGGCCACCAGATATAACCTCAGCCTTCTATATAAAGTTACTGATTTGAAATTCTGCAATTGGTTGCAACTTCTTGGTTACTTTATTTTCGGTGGTGTTTTGAATATTCATGAAGAATTAATGTAAAACGTAAAAATAACGAAATAATTTTTCATCCACAGTTTGTATAATAATTTTACATAATAAAATCTTTATTAAATTTATATCAAAAGTATCAAAAAAATATAACATTTCATTCATTTATTCAATATTTTGTCGGATTTCCTTTTGATTCAATTACAGCTTGAACCCTTCAAGGAATGTTGTCTACTAATTTTTACAAATAATCACGATCAATATTTGCTCACTCACCCATCAAATAAGAAATCAATTCATTTGTATTTTTTGGGGAGCGATAAGTAGTTTGATATTAAATGCTTTTATTGCACGAGTTACTTGTGACTGAGAATGATCGAGTGCACCAGCAATGTCACAAGTGCTTTCATCTGTTTCCCAACGTCCAATCATTCAAAGTCTGTTAATTGAGACATGATGTTTTAATTGAAATAACACAATTGAAAGTTCAATCATTTTTTTTTTAAAAAAAAAATTAGTTTTGGTTAGATATTTCAACCGCAATTGCCCTTTAAAGTTTGTTCACGCATAATGATAATCATCTTGCATAAAAATTCATTCCGATTTTTTTACGTTTTGTATTAATTCTCCATGAATATTCGATCAATAATTATGAACATATATATATATACATTTGAGAACAACATTTCTAAGCTCCCAAAGATGTGTTAAAACATTGTATCTTAAAAGCTACCTTTTCGAAACGAGTATTTGTATTACCCGTTTATTCAATTATTTTTGCGGATCATCAAGTGAGTTGATACTTTTTGTAGGGGAGCATAGTAATAGTATATAATAGTGGAATTTTGTTTTTGATCAACATTCGAAATTATCACGTTACGGAAAATACAATGTAAAATAATTTAACTTATAATTATATAATAAACAATTTTTTTTTTAAAGATGCCTCACAATCCTAATCAAGGTCCTTGCTTAGTTGCTGGTCGTGAAAATTCAGGCCCTTACATAAACTTTAATAAAACTGTTTATACAAAATCAATTGATTCTGGAACTTTTTCTAATTTTGATTATTTGATAGTTAATGAATCACAGTTATGTTCTCCTCATTATTTGCAAATATGTGAACCCGCTAAGGGAAAAAAATGCATTGCTTTTGAAAATAAAAATATCAATGAACAAAATAATATTTTTACCATTAAGAATTTATTAGACAATTTAAATAATCAAAATACTATGTTGATTGATGCTTCATTGAATGATATTTATGTTGATATCAAATATTTGGAAACATTATTTAGAATCTGAACTTTTGCTCTTAGATGGAAAAGAAAAAATTATAATAAGATACTCGCATCTATTTCAGATTACATATATTAGAAAGAAAGTCAACATCCTTTTGCAAATGTATTGGAGAATCATCTTGTTAATTTCAATGAATATTATGTTGAAAATTTTCACAGCGGTTATATGCTAATATCAATGTAAATCAAAATGCAGAATCAATTATTAATCATGCATTTGTAATTGGGTAAGCTCAAATATATATATGTATGTATGTATATATATATATATATATATATATAAGAAAATGGACTTATTAATTTTTTAATGAACTCCTTTAGATTCCCATAAATCAGTTTTTGTTGATACTTTTAAAAAACCATATATTTACCCATATAAGTCTATTCAGCCGGAATTTCTTGTTAAAAAAACCAGTATATTTTTGTTATCTTATTTCCAAGAAATTTTATAAAAATATTGGCAAAAGTTATATGCTTCAACCTGATCAAGTTAATCCGCCTTTTTCAAAGAAATCTCCCCCATATTATTTAGCTTCACTTAATTGTATTGCGGATATACTAGTGTTCCATGTTGCAACCCAAAAAAGGAAACAAAATGGTCATAAAGGCGGTTGCAATCATTTTTATATGATGCAAAGGTGGTAGCAACCATCATCAAAAGTTGCAGCCAGTATCCTTAGCTCTGATAATTCTCACAATACTTTAGGTGAATTACAATCTAATAAATTGGTGATATTATCACTACCAATAAATAGCATAAATTATAATTAGTGGTAGCAAAAAGAAGCAGTGAAAGAATTTGCTAGCTCTTCACCGCAGTATTCATTAAAATTAATTTATAATAATATTTAAATAAAGAATTAACCTTAATCTTAATTGATAAAGTGAAGTAGTAGTAAATTTGAAGTTTGAAAATGTTGACCTTGAAACATATTGCTTCTAAAAACTATAATATTTATTTGTGAGGATTTTATTAATCAAACATGAACAATATTACCCAAGGATTTGAAAAGGGTAATTAATATATGTAAAATCTTAAAAACGCCTCTCTATAATAACTATATATAATAAATAAATTTATTGATCTTGAAATGTATTATTTCAAAAATAATAAAATCAATAAATATTTTAATATTAATATCAATATTAATAAAACAAATACCTTGCTGATGTTTTCGAATAATATGATAAAAAACAAATACTCATTAAAAGTCACTGAAATTAATGTATACCAATATTATATATTCTTTAACTATTACTTTCTTATAAACTTTGAAATGATGGAGGGGTTTTTACGTCACATTAAGGTCAATTGAAAAGTACTTTAAAATTACCATTACACAATATAAAAAAGATCGACATTTTAAGTCACATTCGTGATAATTACGAAATTCCACTATGCTTTGTAGGGTGTGTATAACTTACTATTTACTATTACCATCCATCATCCATCTTGAATAAAAAATTTGACGTGTAGAAAGGAAATATTGATGTCGTTTTCAGAACTTCTTCTGATATTCTGATACAATATTTTTAAATAGCTTATGTTTGAGATACTTGCATAATAAATGAAAATAAACAACACTTGCATATATTAAATTTTAGCATTAAATTTTTTAAATCACCAGAAGAATTGAAGATACCAAATGAGGCATATCAAAAGTTAGTGTTCCTTAATCGTTTGGTGCAATTATTTTTTTTGAATTGATATCATTTTTGGGTAAACTAATATATAGTTGATGGTTTTTGCTGTCCTCCACTGTATATTGCAGGGCACCTATTCACATAACTTTATGGGGTCAAAAAAAAAACAAATCATGAGAATTAAAGCCAAGACAATAAAATTAATAAAATTTAAAAACATCGTCGGTACTGTGACGCAAAAGTTTTGTCCTGCTGTACGTTTAGACATTTCAATTCTTTATGGTCACATCATCCTCCCGTTTAGCAAGTGCGTATACACATAATTTTTAATTTTTTTTTTTTTACTTATCAATACCTTGGATTTCATAAAAACTCT